TCCTACCGATATCAGCCACACCCGATGATGCCCTACGCTGCAAAGGGGCCTGCACCGGCATTCGGAAGATTTCTCACCTTTGACCACATCACCTTCATCGTGGGCAATGCCCGCCAGGCAGCCGCCCACTACTGCGTTCACTTTGGCTTCACGCCCTTTGCCTACAAGGGCCTGGAAACGGGCTCCAGAGACATTGCCAGTCACGTGGTGAAGCTAAACGACATCGTCCTCGAGTTTCAGTCCCCACTTAAACCGGATCACCCTGCCGACCTCACTGGGCACCTCACCAAGCACGGCGACGCCATCAAGGTGGTCGCCTTTGCTGTCGAGGACATCGAGGCCATCGTGCAGACTGCCAAAGACGCCGGTGCTCAGGTGGTCCAGGACGTGGAGGAGGAGTTCGAAGGCGGCGATGGCGGTTCGGTCAAGACGGCGGTCTTTGCACCTTTTGGCGACACTGTTCACAAGCTGGTGGAGCGAACTGCCGACTTCAAGGGCCGATTCATGCCCGGCTACGAGCAGCCCGATCTGAAGATACACCGTCTGCTGGAGGCGCTGCCGCCTGCACCTCTGCTCGCCATCGACCACCTCGTCGGCTGTCAGCCTGACGCCCAGCTGGAGCCAGTGGTCAACTGGTACGAGAGGGCGCTCAACTTTCACCGCTTCTGGTCGGTGGACGACAGTCAGATTCACACGGAGTACTCGGCACTTCGGACGACCGTCATCGCCAACTGGGAGGAGACCATCAAGATGCCCATCGTCGAGCCGGCACCCGGGCTGAGGAAGAGTCAGGTGCACGAGTTTGTAGAGTACTTTGGCGGTTGTGGCGTTCAGCATGTGGCACTGCGAACGGAGGACATTATTTCGGGTATAAATCTAGTTTACCAGCTGAAAACTCACCCCTTAATTTTTACTCCTGTCTGTTTTGATTACTTTGCAGCTATTCAGATCTTGCAGTCACGTGGCGTGGAGTTCCTCAAAACGCCTCCAGTCTACTATCAGAAGATTCGTGAACTTCTTTCCAAAAGTCCGGTCACTGTACTGGAGGACCTAGAGGTGCTGGAGAAGCTGAACATACTCTTGGACTTTGACGACACCGGATACTTGTTGCAGATATTCACCAAGCCACTTCAAGATCGACCGACGCACTTTCTTGAGATCATTCAACGGCGAAAACACCAAGGTTTCGGGGCAGGCAATATAAAGACACTTTTTGAAGCCGTTGAGTATGAACAGGAGCGAAGAGGTAACCTGGTGACTGAGGTCAAAGGGTAGACAAAAGTGGAAAGGTAACCACTTGTGTAATCACTGAATTTAGCAACAACATGTTACTACCGCAAACTGTACTCTTTTTACGCTCTACTGAATCGACAGTTGGGCAAACACACTCAGCAGAAGCAGCAAAGGAAAAAACCTGATTTGAGCAGTGAAACACACGCCGCAGCTCTTTGTGGTACCTCACTGAATAACATTTAAAACTCGAGTTGTGCTGACTTGCGTGCTAAATTAATGTTAAGTCGGTGATTGCACACTTGCTATGCTGTTCATTAGACAACTTTCTGTAAAAAGCAAAATCTGTTTTACAAATTTAATAAACAGGATAAGGTCAGTGGACGAGGGTGATTTTCAAATGCGGCAATGAACTTGTCAATAAAGTAAATTGGAGAAAAGTAATATCGCAGCGGAAATGGTAGCAACATTCAATTTTGATTAAACATGAGCAAACAACAATTCAAGAGAATTAGCAAGCAAATGTTATTGATCTAGTAAACGTACATGTGCTTTATTGTCGCTAGAATTCTTGTAGTCTAAAAACACTTTTCTGTAACTTTTCTGTAAACCAATTTGTTGTTGCCAACAACTGAGCAAACATTGCACATGTATTGTATAACTTTTTTAAAATGCGCAAAAACTTTAGAGCAGAAAAAGAGATACAACATAAAGATACTTATCAGAACTAAAATCTTGATCAGTGCACTTTTGACGTATTCTGTTGAACACCAAACTAAAATTAGCATTCTATTTGGGAAAAAATCAAAGCACTTTTGCTTGCCTTTTCACTAAAATGTTAATTACAATTTAAAGTGNTATCAGAACTAAAATCTTGATCAGTGCACTTTTGACGTATTCTGTTGAACCCCAAACTAAAATTAGCATTCTATTTGGGAAAAAATCAAAGCACTTTTGCTTGCCTTTTCACTAAAATGTTAATTACAATTGAAAGTGGCTAAATCAGGTTTAGTAGTTGAAAGGGATGAGAGGGAGAGAA